CCAGATTTTGTGTTAGATGTTCAGGTCTTGGTACATTTGCCAGGTATCTAGCAGGTGACAAACGGAAGCCTTCCAGCGAGAGCTACCTGTGGTGGTGAGGGCTGAGGGGGTTTCCAGAGCTGCCTCCTTTGCTTCTGCCTGGCTGCTAGGAAGAAACTCTGCCCCTGTGCCCTGTGTAGGTGCCTTGTTTCTTTTATCTGCTTCTGACTGGGAGATGATGTGTGTTGGAAGATCCCTCCTGTGGTTGTTGGAAGGAAGGGAGCATTTTTCTCATTTGAAGTCACCTCTCAGTATCAGAGCTGCCACAGTCCAGGATGTCTGCACAGTAGCTGCTGTTAGCTTGGGCAGGTACTGCTGCAGCAGTGGCACAGCTGCCTGGACTTGGGGCAGCTCTGATGCTTCACTATTTACCCAGCTTCTTAGCAGAATATTTTTTTAAAAGTAGTAGCAACACCCTGTGTAAAGCCTGCTTGTTGTGAGATCATTTGCTGCAGGCACTGCAGCCTGTGTGGGACCACCTCCTGTGGCTAGTGGCACCTGCAGGTGACTGGTGCACCCCCTTCACAGCCCTACTGCTTTTGTAGCTGGTCTCTGTTGCTGCAATTTGATTTCTTGAGCCAAGTTAAGGCTTCCCTCCTCTTTTGTTTGTCCCACTTGATGGCTGTAGGGTTTCATTTTCCTGCCCCTGCATATGCCACAGGCATGGAAAAGTTTGTTGGGGACTTGCATAGAGATGGTATTTTCAGGTCCAAGAGAAGAAAAAGGGTGTTGCAGTAGCCTAGTGTGATGTTCACCCACCCTCTTCCCAGCACTGCAGCACAAACAGAACTGCAGAAGCAGAGAAGGAGTCATCTGTGCCATGTGTTAGTTGTTAATTTTAGTTTCACCATAACTCTTGATGACAGGGCTTGGTTGTTTTCTACTGTAGGCAGCGTGTAGCAGTTATCCTGGAGATATGGTGTGGCTGTAAGACAGCAAAGCTGCAGCTCATCCCTGAGCTGTGGCACGCTGTCAAGGAGCACGATAGCCAGATTCTCCCTCTGACTCAGGCAGCTGTTGTGTACTGAAGTTGAGAAGCCCTGTGGTACCATTTTTCTTGCATTTGTGCTAAATCCTGAACTTCAGGTTAAGTGAGGATGGCACAGGTACAGAGTTCCACATGTGTCTGAGAACAAAGCTTGGCCAAAAGGTTGTTGTGTATCTGCCAGTATGTGTACTCCATTTAACCTTTGTCTACTGCCTTTTTCCCAGTTCTGGGTGAAGTCTGTGTGAAGTACTAGCCCATGCTGGTGTGATCAAAACAGCATCCCAGGGCTTGACATACAAGTCCTGAACTGAATTTCTAATCCATAGGCTGCTAAGGCAACTCTTACAAGTACGTTATAGCAGTCTCAATAAAATTTGTATAGCTTTTGTATCTTTTCTAGGTTGTTGCTGATGTCTTTGTTGTAGTGCATTGCATTGCATCTATCTTAAGTCTGGAGCAAAATTATTGACAATATCAGAAAATACCTGTCTTATTTTCTCTTGATGCTGATACTAGGATTTTTGCTAATGCATGAGTTATCCAGAGGCCATCATGCTTCTAATGGCTGTGTTGCCCTGCAGTGCTGGAGACTTCTATGGCTTGCATTCAGGGACGTTGTTCTGATTAACATGGTCCAGCTTAGTGGAGTGGACTGGTTAAGGTGTCGAGGGTGCTGGCAAAATGATGCAGTGAACTCCAGTAAGGAGTCTGAGAGTTCCTTCTCTTTCTAGTGTCATTTTTGTTGGTGGCCTGTTATCATGGTCTACAGAGTTTGTTCAGTATCTACTCTTATGTTTGGTTAAACACTGTGTGAGGAAACAAACATCCCTTCACTGCAGCGAAGGAATGCAGTGGTGCTGTGCTCCAGCCAGCTCAGCCAATGTTTAATGCAGACTTTGGGTGTATGCAACATCTTGTAGCATCTTTTTCTAGTTGAAGAGAGACACCAGATCTGTAGGAAAGCTGGTGACTTGGATGGAAATGCTGTCATTGATATATTAAAGAACTGAAGGTACAGTTGGCTGCTTAGGTGTGTCCAGAGGGGCAAGGAGCTGTATAAAGGCTGAAGCAGTTGATCTGAAGTCATGTCAAGTGTTAGAAATGAGACATGCTTGCTGTGTAACAGAACATTCTTCATAGGCAGTTTAGCAAGCTTTGAAATTAAATCTGGGAAAAAAAAAAAAGATGTAGCTGTTATGTCAAGGCTTTCACAAGTTTGCAGTGTGCAGTCTGGGCTGTGACTGGTGGAAAACCAGACCTGAACAGCCATGTATGTAATCAGTGCTTTTCCGAGGCATTTATGAGCTCACACTATACTTGCACCACAGCTGCATATATATTTTCCATAATACACTTTTGGAATGATGCATGTTCTTTTTTAGTGTGCTAATTGTCTCTGTGGTCATTCATTCCTGGAGTTAATGACTAGTCTCTTAGAGAAAAGAAGTTAACAAACTGACAGCTGCTCATAACGAATCACTTGCTGGAGAGGCCAATGTAAGTTTAACATCCATGATAAACCCTTCTTTTGCTTCTGGTAGTTCAGTGGAGCAATGGCAAAGAAATGAGGCCATAACTTCATTTATCAAAACACTTCATGGCTGTATTAGATTTGTGCGTGAGAGCTCATAGACAGAAATGCCAGAGAATTACAGACTGTGTGTTTCTGTTCTTTGAGTAATACTAAGTGTAAATGGAAAAAGGTAGATCTCTCGGCATAACCTCGCAGTCAGACTATCAGTAGCTGCAAGTCCTGGGTACCTGGCTGATGTGAAAAGAGGGGCAAGAAGGGTGTGGATAGTTGGGGAGCATTCAAAGGTTTTTCTTCTGGCCCCATTGCCAAGAATGAACTGAAACTTCACAATGAGACATGATGCTGTAATAATAGATCTCGTTTGAAATGTGTGCCCCATGTTCTCTGTTGTGTGTGCAGCTCCTCTGGCCCCAGGGCCAGGAGGGACCAGGGTGATTGCAGAGCTTGTGGTACGTGACAGGACCGAGTACAGGTTTGTGGATGCTGTGCTGCTGCTGGGAGCAATTCCTCCAGCAGCTGGCTGATGGGATGCCTTTTCTGATCAGTGTCCACAGTAATCAATAACCATCTTTCATCAGCAGTTAACCATTAACTCATGGCAAATAGCAGACCTTTTTCATAACCTTTGGTTACAAATAAATAGGCCTAACAGCCATGGATAAGGCAACAGTTTTTCAGGAATTCAAATTTTTAGTCAGAGCTGAGCTAGCCAAGGACTAGCATTTTCCTAACAGACTAATTAACTGAACTGATGGATCTCGCTGGCAGCTCGTTTGTATTATATGCTTAGCTTGGGACATTGGTCTCTGATAAAGTTGTTCCTGCTTCACTGAAATCAGTTTTAAGATTTGAAAGTAATCATTAATAGATATATTGGCTTTTAAAAAAATTATTAGTCCAAAATGGTGGTGCTGTGTCAGGATGTTAAGCTAATTAAATGAAAGGCAGATCTGGTAATGATTTTATATGAGGGAGTTAAAGATATAAACCCCAAGAAACCCATGTGTTAATAAAGGTCTTTCTATTTTAATATTCAAATTGATAGCACAGGATGATTCTTTTCTTCAAACAGTTTTTAACTTGACAGTATCCCGTTTAAACTGAAGCAGCTCAACTCCAGATAATGGTTTTCAAAATGTTTTGAAGTGCTTGGAGGGGATGGAGGTATTAATGGGCATTGTGTTGCCTACAACTGTTTCCTTGTTCAGAGCCTGGGTGAAGTGTCAGCTGTATTATTGGGTACTGCTCTTCTGCCCTGGTTTATTTACCTCCACAGATCTACCTGCCAGGGACAGATGGTGCTTCTGGCTCTGGTGTGGCTGCTTAGACCAGTTTATATGCTGGGAGTGAGTAAAAGGAAGACCCATGGAAACTGAATTGAATACCAAAAGCTTTGTTAGCTTAATTTTCTGCTATTAAAGTTTCTACCAGTTTGTAATATGCTAATTTATCTCCCAAACTGCTTGCTTTGTATGTTCTGTGTGTTTGCCTTCATAAAATGTTCACAGCACAGGAAGGGAAAATTCTGGATGATTAAAGCCCAATTTTGTAGTTCTCTAGTTCCTAGGCTCTTAAGTACATTCACAGTTTTCTTGATGCTAATGACTAATGCTGAGCTTGTGCATGCATTTGTAGAAGTGGGGGCTCAGAGACATTGGAGCACAGCAATTCCATTATACAGTTGTGTGAGGCAAATATGTCAAATTTTTTTTCTACTGTAGTATTAAAAAAAAACAAACCACACAGCATTGTCTTCAGATGTATTGTCGTGCTACAAATGAATAGAGGCCAGTGGACATTTTAGAAAAACTTAAAATTGGTAGACTTGACTATGTGACAGAAAGACATGAACTCACCAGCAATTTGTTTCTTCTTCATAAGCATACAGAAACAAAGTGTTTCCTGAATTATCTCACTGCTCTGGTTTTAATTTAGAGAGGTTATGTATAGATAGAAATAAATGCATAGGTAGAAGACTCTTGAAGTTCTAACTATGGGGAAAAAGTTTTTAAAAAACAAGCCAAAAAGGACCCTGAAAACCCTCCTTCATAGAGTTTATTGAAATAATGACCTTTCCTGTGAGTCTACTGTGTGTGGAGCTAACTGCTGACTTTGCCAGTGCTATGTTGGTTCTTCATACTTTAGTCGTAGCCCTTTTCTGTCCCCTCTTACTGCACCTGTGTCTCCTTTGGATTTCTGTCTTTAGCCAGCCTCAGTCTTCATGCACTGAAACACCAGCAGAGGCTTCCCCCACCCCTTTTATTTTGGCATTGGTTCCACTCAAGCCGCCTCCTTCTGTCTTGGGTATTTGAATCTATTGAAGGTAAGCAGCTCATATAAGGCCTGATGGGGGATATCATGCGTATTATGAATCAAAACCCTGGAGCTGTTTTTAGGAGCTGCAGAGGATTCTGACTTCCTTCTCTTTCTGCTTTTTAGGTATTTGTATAAAATGTGGAAAAGGTGTGTATGGAGCGAGCCAGGCTTGCCAAGCAATGGGTAACCTCTATCATACCAACTGCTTCACGTGCTGCTCTTGTGGTAAGTCAGATCTACCATAGCCTTATTAAGTGGCTTCCTTTTGTATTATGTACTCCTGTAGCAACCAGTGTACAAAGTGAGACCTCATTTTGCCTGCTTCCAAAGGCAAAATTCCCACACAAGACTCCAGTTTGGTGTTTTCCTAACCAACAGCCCAGAAAAGCAGTTTTATTTTAAGGGCTGCATTTACAAACTGGCTTCAACCTGGCCATAAGTACTACATACTTTTAAGTTTGTGTTTATGGAACTATAATGTGTATTGATAATTTTTACAGAAGATAAAATTTGTGTGGCCAAACCCATATTTTCCCTTTCTATTTGCAGATGCAACTCATAGTCAAGTATGTATGTTGTTCTCCTATGTATGAATGCGATAAGAACAAATAGAAAGCTGCATGTTAGAACACCTTAAGCTATTAGAATTTTTTATTTTGTAGAGGAAAACTTGCAGATGAATCATTCCTCGTTGGTGTTCTTAGGATCTTTTTAGGCTTCTCTCTTAATCTGAATTGAACTGGAAGTGATGCATTCTGTATGTGGTTTGGGGAAGTCATGGCTTTGCCAGGGGAAATGGGACTTGAAAGACTCAGGGCAGCACTTCTAGAAGTGTTTGCCTTAAGAATTGGGAACTTAAGTTGGAAGCTTCCTCTGTGTCTTGTCTGTAACTGCTGAGAGGTTACAAATTCCCACTGAGTTCAAGGGGGGTATGAGAGCTCAATTTTTAGGGGTCTGGTATTTTTTATTGATACACCCACACATTTATTTAGGTTCCCAATATATGAAAATATTTACCTGGATGTTCAAGATCTTGTTGTGATACATATACATAGCAAGAGATTTACTTTGAGCAGAATATGCTAAGCATAAATTGTTTATAAAAAGGATTAATTAAGGATTAGAAAAAGAGTAGAAGATTATTGGCATGGAACCAATTAAGTTGATAATGAAAAGACCATTGTAAAGTTCACTTGTGAAAGGAGAAGTGTTGTCTTTTCTCCTGAGATGTGTACAGATAAATATTGATTTAAAGAAGCCTACAACCTGAACATAGAGTTTGGTGACCTTTATAAATTACTCTGGACTGTTACTAGGTTCTAGAATAAACTCATTTCAAACCTTCAGGGATCACTCTCAGCTTTGCTGAAGTCTGACAGTGAATGAGTAGTTTTTTTGTTGGCTCCCAAAGTGAACAGCATCCTTCTTAGCGGCAGATTACAAAATATGATATTGGATTATATCTATCTGCTTATTGCCAGCATTAACCTAACCTAATTGCATGGGTAAATTCCAGCTTCTCAGCGGCAGGCAAGGGGTTTTTTTTAAGTCATCAGGATGCATGTTTGCTGCCACAGGGGTCTGTACACAGTTCATTCTGTTCCTTACAAGAATGCATAGGGGCTGAGGAATGTATTTTAACTGCACAAAACAAACCCAGCTTAATTATTGAAAAGCCCAACAAGCTTTTCTGACCTGGCGTGGTATGTTTGGTTGGTGTTACATCTACCAAGGGGCAACTTGAGACGTGTCCATTCAGAATGTAGTTTTTCCCCACCCCAGGGTGCTGTTGGAATTTTGTGATTCACACAGCTTTCTGTGAGTCACACACACAAGGAAACAGTGCTCCAGGTTGTCTTCTGAGCTCCGTGCTGTACTGCTTGTGGGCTGGAGGGGCCAGTTATCATCCACCAGGTTGTTTCACAAGTAAGAAGGGCTTGGATTTACTTCAGTCTGCAACCTCTGATACAGTCCCATTGAAAGGGAATGTTTGGAGGCTTTCTTATGTTAGGCACTGAAAAGGTGGATGTACTGCTAATGTGGCAGTAGTGCCTGAGTGCAGGTAAAATGCCTTGATCAAAGCTTAAGTTCAACTACATGCAGTGCAAGTCAAAAGCAGAGCTTTCGCTGTCAACTCTGTTCTGAAATAGTACCAAAGTGAGCATAACTGGAAAAGGAATGTTGAATTAACTCTGTTTTCCTACTTATTTTGGGACTGTGCAGTCCTTGAGAAAACCAGTGTGATTCAGGACAATGCGGTGGATCCAGACCTTGGGAACGAAGCAGGCGGGTCCCATCCATGGGCATTATATCCTGAAGTGTGCTACTGACAAAGCTTCTCTTTGAAACAATCAAACAGAAACTTCTCACAGTACTGCAGTTTATGAACAGAGAGTTCACTTTACCTTCAATGTGTCATTGGTGGGACCCAGGTGAAAATTCTGTGCTCTAGTTTTAGTGCCTACCTTTAATGAGATAAAGAAAAAATGGAGAGGGTCTGAAAGGAATTACACAGATGATTAAAGGCTGGAGGAAAAGTAATTGTGAGAGCCTGATGTATTTAGGGTGTCAGAAGTGATGGGATGTACGTATGGCTGGAGCTAGTAAACACTTAGCAGAAAACAGCAGTAGAAATTGGTCTCGTATGTACTAGAGACAAACACAGAAGTTATCTTTTCTGGAGGCTGAAATTACACAATTCAAATAGGAAACAGGACAATTTTTATACAGTAAGGATGATTAACTGCTGGAATTAAATACCAAGAGAAGTGGCAGATTCTCTGTTACTTATTTTCAAATTAAGATCAAATGTCCCTTTGGAAAGTGTTTTGAGTCAAGCTTTTAGATTCAGTATACAGGTAACTAGTTGATCACTAATGACATTTGTTAGGCAAGGGGTCACAGCACACAGACTAGTGCTCCTTCTGAGCTTTTGACAGGAGAGTGAAAAATGTTAGTACTTTCTGCCCAAGACAGTTCTGATACACTAGTTCCTATGCATACTTAAAAATTTGAGCTAGAGTGCAAGCTTGCCTGTCTTTTTTCCTCTTTTTCCCAAACAACAAGAATGATCCAAACTGTCCTCCAGTGGTTATCAATCTCACTTTCAGTGTAATGAATCTAGAAATAGAAGGCAGTGACTGAAGAAGTCTGCACCTGAAGACATTAGATTTAAATAAGGGTCCAATATTTAACCAGCTACTATTAAAAATAAATAAGTAAATTCAAACCCTTGAGAAAAGTTGTGGTTTGGAGACCACTCAGGCTGAAATGTAATAATGAGTGATGGAGCCTCCAAGGACCTCATTTCACCACTTGGCAGTGAGTATTTTCAGTTTAGCAAAGACAAGTGCAGTTGTACATGGATGTTGAAAGAGACCCTCAGTAGGAAATTCTGCCTGAGTCAGAGTTCTTTCTTAGGCACTTTTTAAAGTTTAACTTTTACAAAAACAAGATCCAGGTGCAATCTGTCAGGGTGCCCTGGTTGAAAAGGGCAGCATGTGGCAGAATGGGCCTTTCTGCATCTCCCAGAGAGCATACAGCACTTGCCCTAGTGCTCTCCTTTTCAACTCCCACCATTATATATCACAGTGTTGCTGGAAGGTTTGTGTTGCTTGTAATCAAGAGGAAAACCTAAAATACACTCACAGATGCCTGCACCACTGTGAGAACTCCAGTCTTGTTAGTGTAGAAGTGTGAGGATGAAAGGATGGATTCTTGGGGATCTTCTGCAGTGATGGTGGTTAGTTCCTGAGAACATGGATGCAGAAAGATGAGGAAATATTTCCAAGATACAGTAAATAAACAGGAAACTTCTGTCCCCTTTAAAAGTTTTGGTAACATGCTCAGATGGTAAATCTCTTGTCTTTCTAGGTTCTGGCACCTTTGGGATAAAACTCAGTAATATATTGATTCAGAATTGTGCAGGATCTCAAAAAATAAAAAGGAGGTTGTGCCAGTGAGCTGAAGTCAGAAGAAGAAAGGAAATTACCTACTTAGCAGACACATTTTACACTTTAAAATAAAATGCTGTATTTCTGCCTGTTTAATGTGTTCAGTGGGCTTTGGATAGTTAAGCCTTGCTACCATAACTGAGCAAGTTCAGCATTTCAGAACTTTGCTCTGACAGTTACGTTTTGTTACACCTCTGTAAACCCCTTTTGCCTTCTGCAAAGAGCCATGCTCCAGAACTTTTTTTCAGTCAGGTAATTCTCTTCAGGTAATGTAAAAGCCAAAATGATCTGGTTTCCTAGGGATCAAATAGTTCAATGTAGATCTTTATCCACAATCTCTTAGAGAAAACAACTGAAACTTGTTAGGATGGTTTTAATGTAGATTCAAATCCTTTTTCAGCCCTCACACCACTGGAACCTTTTTTAGGCCTTGTATCACCATACACTTAGAACGTATTAAAGCACATGTCTGTTTCTTATAGGTAAGCATGCTTTGCTGAATCTTAAATAACAGATTAATTCAGGCAACATCATCCTCTGTCCCTTCTGTCAAGTGTAAAATTTTAGCTTTGGCAGGAGTTCAGTTGCAGGTTTTGCTTATGGAAGACAAGAGCTGAAAAATATCTGCCTGAAAAGCTCATCATCTAATCCCTCTTGGTAGTATTTCAGACTATGACAGGATTTCTTAAAGAGTAATTGCAATTATGCCAGATTGCTTGTGTGCTCTAAGTCCTGGGCTGTATTTGATACTCATGACAGAAGATAACTGATCAGGTGCCTCCAGTTTGCAGGTCATAGTACTCTCCACAGTGTCTTTTCAGGCTGAAAATTTTAATCAGTGGCAATGATTGTAGAAAACGGCAGTAAAATAAATCTTTGCAATCAGGAATATTGGTTTGCTATTTGTTACTTTGAGGGTGCAGGAGATAGGCAGGGAATGAGCTTTGCAGAGCTAAGGGATTGAAGTCTCTGTACACTCAAAGCTGAGACATTTCACCATAAAAATGAGGGACACATTGTGTTCTCTTACATGAAGGCAAATGTTTGAGCATACCATTCGTCTTTCATTTGCACTTTTGCCACTGGTTTTAAGGCACAGGAAATCACTGCAAGATCAATCAGAAGCCTAAAGCAAACCGTATAATCCCAAAGGTATGCAGCTTATTTCTTACCTGGTAGCCATTGATCAGACTGGAGCACTCAGGGGCTTTTGTACAGCAGTTTCATTTAAGGAAGAGCTTGTAAAGGTATCACGGTTCAGTTGATTATTGG